CTCCTGAAACTTCACCAGTATATAATTGTTACCCATCTAAATTGGATATCAAGTTCAGATCCAATTCAAATCCAGTTTATCACTTACTTTTTATTGCCAGAATGTTTGGCGTGTATTGTAAAGCTACATTGTACAATATAAAAAATTAGTGTAACATTTTAAATTTCCACTATGCTAAACGTAAGAGAGAATTTTCAGAGGCAGGCCGTTATACACTATAGGAAATTTAATTAAGAAAACCGTTATAGAGTAAGGTTTTTTTATATAGTAAAAATTTGGGTACTGATTCCCAGTGCGTTATAAAATGGAGGCCGTTATAGAGAGAGTGAACTGTACTTGTTATTGATAGTTGAACAAATGTTGATCGGTGTAACTGTTTTAAAATTTTTTCCTTCCACCTATTTGTTTTAAAATATTTATATTTTCTTTTTCAAAATTATTAATCTTAATTAGTCAATAAAATTATAATAACATCATATATTTAATTAATTAACAATGCCATATTTAAATGATTTACCATTTGAAATAATAATTGATATTTGCAGTCACATTGATGTTTATACATTACATGCATTATCAAGATCATGTAGGGGCTTGTCAGTTGTTAAATTTCATCCGTCTTTATGGCGTCAAATCGATTTCATGGATCTTGATGAACAAATCACAGTAGAGCGAGCATTTTTAAATAATCAACCACTACCTGAAAAAATAAAACGTATAGATGATAATTTTGTAAAACGACTAATAAACATGTTGATTGATTACAAATTGAATGAGGCAGTAACTGTGATCAATTTAGATTTCACTAGTGTTAAATGCACATCAGTGTGGGATTCCATTAATGGGTTTCCTAATTTGGTAGAAATAAGTTTACGTGGTTGTTCCAATCTATCGCTGAAGGATTTGGGTGTAGGATTGACTTGGTTTGAACCTTTGACACCTAGCATAAAATTACAAAAATTGAATGTGCTCTGGTGTAAAGATATGGATACCATTAAAATCAAAGAAACAGGAAATTAGACAATGAACCACTTGTTAAGTCCCCATGAAGAATATTTTATTAAAGTCAAAAATTCTGGGCGTGCAACATATTGTTCTATGGTTAACAATATTAATAATGAACCTTATCGTTATTATAATAATTTAGAATGGTATGAAGTGTGAATATAGAAAGATATTTTTTAATATTCATTAAATAAATAAATAAATAATTAGAAGATTAAATGCACACACATTAATATGTATTATACATATGTAGGAGATTACAAGCACATTACAACAAACTACTATTCGTTAAAATGTTGGCAATTCTCCTTTATTATTTTTTCTTGTGGATATTGTAACCATCAAAACTATAGAAAACGTTGAGATGTTCTGTATTATATCCACTAACTTAATCTACCAAGCAAATAACTTGGCAATTAACAAAAAATCGAACGAACGAACGTACTATTTGTTTTTATTCAATAAACAAGGAAACTTTGAAATGAGACTAGTTTAATAATTTAATTTTATATAATAATAATAATGATTATGATGATGATAACAATAATAATAAATAAAAGTATTAGTAGTAATAGTAATAATAGTAGTGATAGTAGTAGTAGTAATAAATAATTAAAAGATTTTTAAAATGAATTAATCAACATCAATTCTACTTGTCAATTAACAAACCCTCGTTCTATTTACCCAATAATCCAATTATCATATCCGATCCAATCTTAACCTGTAATCCACCACCCATCTAATTTAACTTGCTTAACCTGCGCTAACGATTTTGCCGATTTAATCTATTACATGGATGTACACATCTATTTGAACAATAATACTTTTCACATAATTCACATCTCCTTGTGATTTGAGGGCATCTTTTGCAAATGAATAAACTACATGCATTACAAACTGTTGTTATCGAACAGTTTGAACATTTTCTAGCTAATCGATTACATCTCTTACACTCCTTAAAAATTTTATTGTTGTTTCTGTTGCCATCAGTGCCGTCATGATTATCACTGCTGTTTTTATTATTATTATTACCATCGCTGCTATTATTATTGCTATTATTATTACTATTATTACTATTATTGTTGTTGTTGTTGTTGTTGTTGTTGTTGTTGTTGTTGTTGTTGTTGTTGTTGTTGTTGTTGTTGTTGTTGTTG